GCTTGAAAAGCTTGGATAAATAAAGAATAATGAGGTTTAGTTGATTGGAGATAGAAAGTTGTTGTCACCCTTGTCCAAGATCAAGGGTAATTAGGTATTCTTTAAACTTGACACTCTAATAAAGAGTAAAAAAAACCCAGATCGAAAGTTTTCATTTGTTTCTATTACAGGAAGCTATTGGGAATGTTTTAATGTGTTGGTGGTTGAAGGAATAACCAAATCAAAACCAAGGAGTTATCAGACTAGGTAAGAACTTATCCACTCTTATACAAGAAAAAGCAAGAACTATGTGAGTTCATATCTTCTCTGGTTTACAACATTAATTATAATTAGTTTAATACAAAAAAAAAAATAATTCAAGGTTATTAGATCGCACTAACTTACACTTTATAATTTTTTTTTTTGGCTATGAAAATATTACTACGACAAAACCCCTAAAGCCTAGAACTCAGTAGATCACTTCTCCATGACATCTTGATTGATCAACTACATTATCTATTCAAAATTAGATCTGCAAAGGGTCAAAGCTCTGCCATTTGTTTGTCTAACATCGTGGTAATGTATTTATTGTGATGTGATTGAGGAAACTTAATGTTTTGTAGGATATTGTGATTTATGTGCCCGTTTTACTAAAAACATGTTTTATGTTGAGGAAATTGGCCTATTGTTGATTTGATAAGTGTTGTTTTTCCCTTGATCCAACTTTGTATGTAGAAGCTTTTATTTTTTATTTTTTATTTATTTATTATATATATTTTTTTTGTAGTTGTTTACCAGATATGGGCCAGAGTAGGTTTGTGTATATTCGACTATGTATGTGTGTATGTAAATGTATGCATTTATATGACTATATGAGTGTCTATAAAAGGGGTTGGGGTACTATAAATGGAAACCTACCATGTGTATAGGTTCTGCTACTTTTATCATTAGATATTTTTTGTTTTAGCCAAATCACTCAAGTCAACATGGGTGGATTGCTTGAAATTTTTCTCTGTCATGAGTCATGAAGGCATATGATACTACTAGGATTGAGTTGAATTTTTAGGGTTGAGACGATTTGCATCTATTTGATCATCATTCAGATTATTTCTGTATATGGTCTGTTGTTGAATAATAAAGAATAATACGTTCAACTAATACCTTTTGTATGATTTTCCAGGTTTCTGTGAAGACTAGGTACAATAAGCTTGAGAAGTCCCAAGAGATGATCAATTGGATGAAGGAGTATGGCGTAGACACCATTAGGTTAGGTTATATGGATAAAGTGCTTAGTGTTAGTATGGTTTAGGAGTGTTTCATTTGTTTAAAGTGCTTAGTGTTAGTATGGTTTAGGAGTGAACGATTAATGTTATATTAATGTATAAAATAGTTTCTGAGTTAAATTCACATTTATGGATTATCTATTTCAATTAGCTATAGTGCATAAGTGGAGGAATGACAAATCTGCTATGTGAGTTGGTGGAATTTACGTTTTATTAATGGCTATATTTGTATAATGAATAGCTATATCCATACAGTGAATTAGAAGAATGGTTTAAGTTTCATCTTCAATCATTTTGAAGCTTTTTAATGTTTTTAAGAACCATCTTAAGAAATAAGAACCCCTCTTAAAACAGGAAATATAAATTATTTACCGACTAAAAATGGTATGGTAGAGTTTTTATTCCATTATTTTTTCTTGACCTGCGACCTTCTCTCTTTTACTTAGTTAACTCATAAAAAAGTTAATTTCCAAGGAACTAAGGTTAGTATTAAAGTAACACATAACTGATTTTTTTTTTTTATTTTTTTTTTATTTTTTTTATTTTATCATATCATATTTCTATATTTCTTTGGCTTTTTATTTTTCTTGGTAGTTTTATTTCCATCATCTGCATATTATATCTCGTATAAAAACAAAAATTATCACCAAGGATTAGATTTAATCTTTTATTTTTTATTTTTTATTAATATAAGTAAAATAAGAAAACTAAGACATACTTGAAAAAAGAAACTGAATGTGACAAACCAGTGATTAGAAAATAGGATTTAATTACAATTTTATAATTTTTGGTATATTGCCTTTTTCAATTTTGGTCGAGGGGTAAAATGCTTATTTGAAAATAAAGAAAACTACCAAGAGAAAATAAATTGATACAATTTAGGAACTGAATAAACATAGATATACCGTTATTACTTTGTCTATTGGTGGATGATTCGTTGCAAACCCCTTCCCCCAATGTCGTTTAATTAAATAATTCAATGTTACATGATTGGGAGAGGGAAATTAAAGTCCCACTATATCTAAATCGATTTTCCAAACAAATACTAGAAGATAGTCTACTTTACTTAAAACAAATATCCGTTTTACACATAATAAAATACCATCTAACGATTATATCATACAATTGTTGTGTTATTTAGAAAATTACATGCTTGCGAATAGACAAATCAATGAAATACAATATGCCGAAAGAAAAGTAATACACAGGAAATACTTATTTAATGCGGGTTTAGAGGCAACTAATAGCCAAAAGGAACAAATTGTCTAAATGAAACAAATCGAAAGGAAAAAATTTGATGACCACCAAAACAGAACTTCCGTTTGAACACTAATCGCCGGAATGAAACTAATCACCTCCGCCGCATCGTGCGGGTATCCCACTAGTATATATATATATATATATATATATATATATATATATATATATATATATATATATATATATATATATATATATTATCTATTATAGTCATAACTGTTTCATTATTAGAAATTAGAATGTATGCATATTATAGCATTTATCTATTATAGCATTCTACTTCTTCACATATATATATATATATATATATATATATATATATATATATATATATATATATATATATATATATATATATATATATATATATATATATATATATATATATATATATATATCCCCAAATAAATAAAGAACTTTTTACCATTTGTCAAATTCTTATGCAATTGGATATATGGCATTTTCTTGATTTTTTTATTTATCTAATATTCCACTTGTCAATTTATTGTAATGCCACCTAAGCAATAGATAATGCAGATGCATATTTTTGAATGAAAACACACAGATATATAATGCTATTATTATTTCCTAAATTTTAGTCCACATATAAAGCAAAGATACGTTTGAGTTATTTGAAAATTTTGGTCAATATGCTATTTTATTTTGTTAAAATGGCACAGATATCAATTTTGTAAAATTTGTTTTTTTGGATTTCAACCTTATTTTTCCCCATTAAGTGATTTAATGTGAAATACTAAAATGTTTGGGCCTTAAAGTAAAATTTGAATTGGTTGCTAAGCAAAAATAAATCAAACTAAAAGAAACAAAGAAACTAATTTTTTTTCCCTGCAGGGGTATACCGATTTTTTTTTTTTTTTTTTTCAATTAACCTCAAAAGCTTTGTTTTATTTTTGGTTTAACAATTAAAATTTTCTTTTTTTATAATAGCCATTGTATTTTTTTTATAAAACATATATTTGTGTCATACAAAGCATAATTGGTTAATATAAAACTTTAATTTTGAACAGGGGAAATTTGGGAAGGGGCATTTTTATCCTTTTATTATCAAACAAAGTTATTTGTTTAAAGGTGTGTCTTAGTGAATAACTGAACTCAAATGTGGTATGAAATGTTAAAGATCTTTGTGTTAATTTTTGGTCATCCAACACACATTATCTTTTACTTGTATGCGATTGTTGTTTATAGCCACCAAATGTGAAATATTCATATTAATAAAGATGGATAATGTTCCTGATGGATATGTTTTTTTGAGGTTGAATTTGTTAATACAACTTAAGTTCGGTATAATATTGACATAAAAACAACCCATGAGGTTGAATTTGGACCAGACTTAGATTGGTAAGCAATATATAAAAGCTAAGTATCAAGTCTATCAAGTCAGAAACATGTGGCTATTAACAGAGCTTCCTTCTCATGATATGTGCTAATCTGTGAAGTATATGAAAAGGGAAACTTATTGTTACTATCTCTTTTCATTATTGACAAATAGGTGGGCTGCTATCACGATCCAAACAAACTAAATTAAACAATCTAATACTAGCATTATACAAAAGATTTGGGAACAAACAAAGGGGTAGGGCACTAGGGCTGCTACGTCCTTGCCAACAGATTTAGAAGTTAGAATAATAGAAATAATATTACTAGCAATTTACATCCTTTTGTCCAACTCCCCTAGAAAACATATACACGAATAATTATTGGAAATAACCCAAACAACATATACATGAATAAAGAGAAAATGAGATGTTCTTGTATTCTAAAACATACACCGTTCATACCTGTTGGGAGGAAGTAGAAAACCGATTTTAGAAAGAAGGGAGACCGCCAGAATGAGAGGGAGACCGTCGGAATGAGAGCACCTGCAATTCAGAAGAAAACAGAATGAATCGGGAAAACAACATGGTGAAAGGCTAAAGGAGTTGACGAGGGAAACGGTGGCCAATTGACGATCGAATCTTCCCTATTGGCTTACAGGAAACGGCGATTTCGCCTCAGCTCACAAACAGGTGCTGTGGGTGCGAGACTGCCGGTGACTGATTGGGAAAAGGGATTTCAATCCAACGAAACCCTATAGGGACGATAAGTCCTTCATATACCTGCCCATTAAAACGGGATCGTTCCAGTTTTCCTTATATATACGCATTATATATATATATATATATATATATATATATATATATATATATATATATATATATATATATATATATATATATATATATATATAAATTTAAGTTTGGGACGATACGTCGTCCCTACATCTTTTTCGGATACCCGCCATTTATTTTTCTTCCCGCTCAGTTTTGCATAAACGATTTATCGTCACTGTAGGTTTGGAAGTCAAACTAAATTAGTCAATATAGTGACCACTTGTCGTCCCTATACGATCCTCTATGGCAACGACATTTGTTGTCCTACAGTGTAGACTCATATTCTTGTAGTGTTCTTGTGTGACAGATGCGGAAACGACATGTAGGTAAGCAAGGGGGAGGGTCGGGTGGCTCAGCACTCAGGCGGCGAAGAAAGGTCGCCTTTTTGGAAGCACTGATAGCAGCTTACTAGCGATCGCTCACCACTACCGCTAATCTCCTTCTCCTACTGTTCCTTACAGCGTTCTCTTTTTCCTCTCCCAATGAAATTCGTTCCTCACATGCATCCCTTTTGATCTTCCAACTTTTATCTCTCCGTCAATTACACACTATTTGGGTTTATTTCCGGATCCGACTTTGTTTTTTTTTTATTCGTTTCCAACTTCTTGGGGTTTATCCTTCCGCCTTGTCATCAGGTGAGATTTTACCGATTAATTTAACCATCCGTTTTTCATTTCGATTTTCTCCATAAGGGTAACGTTTCACTTAAGGATTTATTTTCCCTTTCTTGAAATCGCAATCAGACCTTGAACGGTGGTTGCTCACCAGATATATAATAATCTACTTCCGGTCTGATGGTTTTATTTGTGTTTCTTTTATTTGATTGGTTTTGATTTCTCTCTGTTTAAATAGCGTTCAGACCGTCAGCAAGAACAGCTGAAGTCTCTGCCTGTGGAGGTTTGGGAATCATGAAGAGATGACGTCGAAGTTATCAATGTCTCTCAATTCCTGTGGATAAAAACCCCCAAGGCAGCTTCACTCGAGGACATGATTCATATAAGAGCATCGTCTTCCTTTTAATGACTTCATTTGAAGATCATCGAGCTTAGGATTGCAGTTTGTTGATAGGGTGATACAGGTAATGGAACAATATGGAATCGTTTGCTAAGTTTGATTAGACGTTGAAACATTTTCCCACCAACTGTTTGTTAAAAGTTTGTACTTAATTCTCAAAATTTTTATCTGGTCTGTAACTGATATCGATCATCTATTGGTTTATGAGATTTGATCAAACAAACAAATCACAGAATAAAACATTGGTTTTTGTTTTTGAATCCTAGGTACACCTTTGGCAAACGTTACTTTTTGGAGCGAGCTTTTGACTGATACTATTAAGGTTAGTAGTATAATATTGTATATAAAAATTGATTAATTGTTTGTATATTAGACTTGTGATTTTCTTTGTGGTTATTCACTTATTTGTATAAATATGATTTAAGGGCCTTACGAGCCTAAGTGTATTCCTTCATGGAAATTGAAATGATGATAAGTAAGATGTGCTATGTGCGAGAAATTGTCTCGTATAATTAAAGTGATGATCCTCCAATGAACAGGTAAGAGTTTAGTTTTTTTTTTTTTTTTTTTTTTTTTTTTGAGAAAATGAACATACGATGTTTTAACCTTTTTAAATCTTTCATCACAATTCTAACATTTTCGTTTATTATTCTTAAAAATTTGCTTGGGAGCTTGATATCTTTAAGTACTTTGAGTTGTCTTGACCGTTGGAGCTATCTTAAATATAGTTTTTTATTTATTTTTATTTTTTTTATTTTTTTTATTTTTTTATTTTTTTAACTTTTTCTTTTGAAATACTAGCTTCATTTTATTTATCTAGATGGTCATAACATGAGGATCTTTTTAATTATAAGGATTCATTATTATTATGTTTCTTTTAGAGTTAGAGTGGCTTGAGCAGGTGAGACAACTTGAGAGAATTTGTTTTCTTGAGCTTACCAATCACTCAATAAAGTCTTAACAAGTTAAAGTTGCTTGAAGAAGTTTGCCTTTTTTTTTTTTTTGTAAAAAAAAATCAATATTTTCATAGATAATATTCATAGAGGAATGAATGTCTTTGTTTGTTTGATACTGGGAAAGTCATTGAAGCTTAATTTAAATTTTCTCAATCATAGTTTCTTGGAAACATTTTTTTATTGATGGACTGATAGAGATAGGTATAATCATAAGATTTACATCCCCATAGTTACAATTAGATAGATATTTATCTATTATCTCATGTTCTTTGACATTGCATCTTTTGAAAAATTTGATTCCCGCTTTTAGAATATTAGCCTGTATACGTCAATGGGTTACAATTTCCATTAAAGATTAATTAATTTTGTATATACATTCATAGAAAAGAACCTCCTTGAGTAATTAGGTGTAACAAGTATTATGGTAATTATGATATACAAAAGCCGAAAATACCCTTTTTCTCTTGATACTTCTCCGATCTTTTTAAATCCATAATACCCTTTTCTATAGTTGCCTTATTTTTAATTCAATATCATAAATGAACTTTATAAGCAACATTCTTTGATTCACAATGCTCTACTTAACTGGTTATGCTTTCTCATGTCAGGTTATCAGTGATCTACTTGATCCAGCAAGGAAAAATCTGCATGAGAAGATTGACAGGTTTCTCCATTAACTTAACATAATTACATATTGCATAATCTTCATGTTTTTCGTTCTTTATCATGTTATAGGGGCAATATTTGAATATCTTACAATTTTGTCCCTAAAAGGATTTTTCTATGATTTTTTCCCATTGATAATTAATAATATCTTACAATTTGACACTTTTTCTTATTAATGCAGCCTACCATATCATTTTTATATGAATTCATTTTTGTCGTTATAGAATCACATCAACACATGTAAATTTAGGACACCAATGGTTACTGTAAAAACGACATGTAAATTCTCCAAGTGCGAGGGTAATATACATGAAATGGCAATGTACTTCAAAAAAATATGTTGTCGTTTGATGTAAATTACATGGTTTTTAAGGCAAAGGTAGAAGTGTCAACCTATTAACAATCTTATATTACAAACAGAAAATAACACATATAATGGGAATTTTTTTAAATAAAATGGACAATTTTTGCATTTTATTTTACAAGACATAGACACAGGAATGTTATACAAAACATAACAAAATGGAAGTATGTTTTTAATTTTTGCATTTACCCCAAACATAAAAAGATAAAATCAAGGAAAAAGGGACAAACAAATGAAAGTGCGTTGCTGGAAAATGGGATTTTTTTCATTAAAAAGAATGTAGTTTCACTTCATGTAGTCCTCCTCTTAATTTCTGCAAAAAACAGCAATGTACTTTTAAAGTACATTGTTATAATCGACAAAAATGGTTCCTTTAGAAAACTCAAAATACTAAGAATTGAAATAAGCATCTATTTAATTTGAAAAGTCTGTATTTAATTTATTTTCACCTTTAATTTGCTGAAAATCGACAAGTTGTTATGAGGATCATAAATTTCGTTTGTAACCGTATATTCAATTTCTAAATGCAGGTTATAAGAGGCATACACGAAGAAGCGGTATATCAGTAATTTTACTTTTTCGGTTAAAAGGTTGTAGAATGGACACGTGGCCTAGAGGGCGTCTTTTATTAGATAGGGAGATATAGTTTTTTATGAACACGTGCTAGCTGGAATGAAATGATTTGAACAGAATGTAAAAGCAGAAACCCTGCACGTTTTATCTTGTAACTTTTTTTTTGTTGTACTTCTAACTATATATATATTTTTTTATTTAGCACGTTATGATATGTGAATGTTTGTTTGTGGTGGAGTGGAGTGGACTAGAGGGCAAATACGTAAATCTTCAAATTCATTCGACTGATTAAAAAGTAAGTTGTACATGACATTTGGAGGCTGATTAATAAGTAATTTGTACATGACATTTGGTCGTCTAAGCAGTTGCAAACAAAATAATGCAGAAGATAAAGACAATTGTTTGGTATATGGAGGTTTGTAGGGCACTTCACCAAACCATGACACTGATGGCATGAGTTCGACACTTCTCACCAAGGGGGATATTGTAATGGTCGAAATATCTAGCGAGGTGTCAAAGTCCAATTTGGTATGTGGTGTATCGAAGTGAACTACTTCGCTATATATGCCTTATGTAAGGCAACGTTAGATGTCAAAGCGTAGAGTCAAGTCCTGACATATTTTTTGTGAGTCTGTATCACCCTACAAATAGGGTTAGTATAGAAGTAGAGAGTAGCTCTTGAGCATTTCGTTATGTTTTTCATTCAGACTAATTAACAAGCCAAATAGAACTTATTTACTATTGTGCTCTAAATACTTTTTGTCATTGATTTTGTTCTTAATACTCGATTCAAACGCACTATAAATTATCCTAGATTTGGTTTCGTGATACAATAGTATCGAAATCACAGATTTTAGAAAGTTACTGCAATCACGATATTCTTATAACCCTAATATTTAAATATATATATATATATATATATATATATATATATATATATAAGTTTAATTATATTTATCTCACATCAACAATTGAGTAAAAAGTATGTGGTTTTCGCTATTTACCGAAAAGAAGAGTGACGGGAAGGTTTATTATGGATTATTTTAGCAATCTTGTTTTCAAGCTCCTCCCTGTTACACTGTTCCATGGAGTTATTTGAGTACAAAAATTAATTAGTAAAATCATAAAGCTATTTTGGATCCTTTAAAACAAATGGTTATTGTAAATTTAATTTGTAATAGTCAAACTTTTATAAAAAAGTTATTAAAAGTAGACAAGTAGATTTTGTTTGGATTATTTAGACAAAGGATTATGATGGATTGATTAAAAAATGAATTAGTATGGACTGTTTAAAAAAATTACTATGTATAAAAGTTATCTTCTAACAATCAAGCATCCTAAATTTATTATGGAAATATAAGTTTACAATGAATAGTTTATATAATCTCTAATCAAAATGTATGAAAGTTCTAAAAATAGAAACATTTTCAAATTGAACTGAGTTCGATATCGACTCATAGAAGAAAGAATGTGGGAGGTTTCACTATAAAATGGTTGTATTTCCATCCTTAAACTTATTTGGATTATAGTCAAATCTGGTTCAAGACTTCGTTTAAACTGGTTTTAAACATTAAATATTATTTTTGCATGCTGAATCGGTGTTGATTTAATCTTCATCTACTCCAAAAAAAAGACCTTTCATTTAATATTCATCTACTCCAAAAAAAAAAAAGACAAGTGTCTTAAGGTTGAACTGCTCTGAGATAGATTGAGTTCAACAAAGTTAGAAGACTATCACATAAACAGGAAACCTTTTGGCTTTATGTTTCAGATTTGCCACTACAATCTGTCGTGTATATTATTGACTGTCATGGGTATAACCCATGATACCGATAAGTGTAGTTGCAAAGAAATCAAGTATTAACAATGAGATCAGAGTAAAGTAAGAATGATGAACACAATATCTAAATAAAGTTTGTTTGGCTCAATTATGCTTTCAAAAGTACACAGAGAGTTTTAGACAAAATCATGAAAAGTTCTTATCAATCTCTAGTATATCTCCTTATTTATAGAGATATAGAAAGCACAAAAAAAAATAGAAGAGACTTTACATGAAAGATTCGAAAAAATGTCGTTATAATAACATTACAAACTATCAAAACTATCTATGACATTCGACACCTCACCACACTATTCGACATCTACATTCTCCCCCTTTGTGAGAAGTGTCGAGTCTAAGATGACAACATTGTAGTAGCTAGGTGAATAACTCTTCGAACTTCAGCATACCAATTGATCACCTTTCGAATTTCACCTTTATCCTTTTCATTTTTCTTGACACAAGTGTTCATTTGAGTCATGATATTTTTGTAATGAGAATTAGGATACCTCTCAACATCACATACTTGAAACATAAATTTTTTGTTGTTACCCTTCTTGTTTTTTCCAACAAACACAATTTCTAGAGGTTTCAAGCAAATCTCTTCGTCTTCATAATCTTTCAAGCTAGCTTTACTCTTTAATATGGACTCAGGAACAATAATCTATTTATCCAATGATAATGCTAACTCAACATTTGTTAATGCCAAAGAACCATAGTATCCATAAATAAACACTTTCAAGTAAGTAAAACCCATCAAACATCTTCTTTGTTTGTCACTTGCAGCTTCGAAACATCAACACTCTTCATTATCTTAGCAACAATCATCAGATCATATAGATTCATTAAAGGGAAGTCTTCAATCGAGAATTCGAATGCAACATTATTGGTTTGGACTACATGATATCGATAATTTTGTAACATACCCTCAAATAGAACATCTTTTGATACATTAAGAACCCGAACTATCTTGACTAAAGACCATATCTCCTCCTCCCTTTTCCAAGCACTGCATGGAATCGAAACTTCATAAGTTTGAATTCAATCTTGTCTTTGTATTGATCTGCAATCTCAAACTGGTCATCCAAGAGCATCATTTTGTTGATTGTGAAGTCCAACTGATTGAAGTTAGTGCTCTCTATATCATAGCTTTACTTCGGTATTTTTTCAAAATCATGATTCTCCTCTGAAACAACTAAATCTTCGATATATTCATAAGAACAAAGCTTTGAAGGATCACCTTTGTTGAGACCAGGAGGGTGATTTGCTCTTTGACAAAAAAATACTTTGGATTTGTTTTTTTTCTCTATCTCGTTTTCCAGAGAAGCTTTCTTTTCTTCTGTAGAAAGCTCAGTAGAAATATCCTTACCTTTGTTCTGTATTTCTCGAGTAGTAAGAGGTGGTTTCAAAGAACTTGAACCTCCACTTGCAGATCAAATTACAATTCTCTTGGTAATTGGTTTTTTTTTTGTTGTTGATGATGATGTTATCATGGATTTTTTTGTTGGATTAGGTGTCTAAGTTCATAACTATTCTGGGATGTACTTGACCCGATCAACATGGTCTATTTGGGTTGCATGGCATCATGCATTTGGATAAACCAAAATGAGAGAAATAACACTTATGGTTTATTAATATATTATAAGTTCTAATATATTAACAATATTATTTAATTAGTATTGATCAGGAATTAATTTGATATTAATTAAGTGATCAAAAGAAGACTAATTAAATATATGGGTTGATTGTGTAAATCACTTATACTTGTATAGTGGGCTAATGCTCCATGGATTATCAAGTTGGGCTAAAACCCATAGGATGCTACATGGTGTCTTTGAACCCATGGATCATGGAAATGAAGAGCCATGTCAATTAGGGTTTACTTGGTGTAGCCCTAATTATGACACATTATATAAGAAACATGTTGTAGACCAAAATCGGCACTAGTGTGTGAAAAAGAGGGCATATATGATTTTAGTAGTGTTCTATTTCTCTCAAGGTTATTCAAAGTGCATATGGTGTTGTGTGAGACATTTGAGGCCGCACACTTGGGGTGCTAGTCTCACAAGGTTTTCAAGGAATCCAAATCACTACAAGGTATGTATTTCTAGCTTTCTTTTATGTTTAAAGTTCCCCTTGTATGCTAGATATGTTAAGAACCTTGGAAAGTTAATTTTGCATGTATCACAGATAAAACATAGATCCAAGGTTTCTAGGGTTGTATGTACACCATAGTAGTGTTAGAATGCTCAAAACCCACAGTGGTATCAGAGCCTAAGCTTGTTTTCTTGTTATAGTTGCAAAATTGGCTGAAAAATCGAAGTTTGTTGCAGTCTGCTCAGCAGACTCGCCGAGTCGATGAAGGGACTCGATGAGTCCAAGGCTAAAGTCATCCAACTTGTCGAGTTGGTTCTTACACTCGATGACTTGGACCCCTAGACAACATATCTTCGGCTGTTTGGGTTGGATTGGACTAGAAACATTACCATAAGCTGTTTTTCAACTTATAAACCTGTTTTTCATGAGGTAATGTTCATGCTAATCCAATTACAAAGATAATTGTCAATAGATTTTTTGTATTAGTTTAATGATTAGGCTAATTACATGAAAAAGTTTGATTAAATTATCTTGTTCTTATGAGTTGCTTAGATTAATAGAAATTTTATGTGAAATTGTTGTTTTCAATCCAAATTAATCTAAGAGTTGGTTCTAAAATGTGTTCTTGTAACTTGTCCTCAAGTTATATGAAAAGTTACATTTAAGATTAATAAAACTCATAAATATTTCCATAGGTTATGAACAAAGAAAAGTCACATTCTTTTAATATGTTAAAGTCTTCCATAACTTGTCCTCAAGTTATGGAACTTGAAGTGTTTTTGGATTAAAACTACTTTAAAAATATATGTGATGGAATTGAATAGTTTTGAATAGTTTCAAAACTTGCCCTTAAGTTTTGGAATTTGAAAAAGTTTTCCCTTATGAATACTTTAATTCCAAGTTGAACCCTTAGAATTTTAAAAGTTAAAATTCAACCCTTATACTTTATAATATTATAAGTTAATAATAATTATATATATATATATATATATATATATATATATATATATATAAAAGAGTAAAGTCGTTTTACCATTAGTAGGCCTCATTCACGAAGCCGGTCTATAAGGGGGTATAAGGTTACTGCCTATAAAATGGCAGTTTAATGGGTGTCCACTCTCTCCCACCACTTCCTTGACTGGTGGAGGGTCGTTAGCCGAATGAGTAGGAGAAGGACTATAATTCTCCCTTCATTAGATGTATTAATCATAAATATAAAGTAACTAAACCTTTTATAAATTCCCAATCTTAGTTACTTTAGGCAAATGTGAATTTGGTGCTAACCCATG